ATCGTTGATCAGATATATCCAGGGCAATAGCAGTGGCTCATTAATAAAAATCTACACAAACAAATTGACCATAACAATTTCCTAAATGAAGACCAACATGGAAATCAAAAAGAATTTTCCTCATTTCACACTGCATAGCATTGCTTGTATTCAATAGTCCAAGCCTTCTAGACTTAATATTCCATTTGCCTACATAATACCTCCAGCAGTTCGATACAGTAGCTTTTGATTTTGGCATTTGCCTTTATATAGCTTACGACTGGACAATCAGGCACAGAAAATGAGGACATTAAACGTCCATTTCATTATGAAATGTTCTAGACTTTTCAAGAATGAAATTTGCGCAAGAATGCTCTTCCGAGGTCGATTTCTGGTAAAAGGGAGACAACTACAATGAAGCATGTCATTCTAAACTTTTAGGTGGTCTGTAGCCTATTATTGCAAACTAACTTACGGCTGGACAATCAGGCACAGAAAATGAGGACATTAAACGTCCATTTCATTATGAAATGTTCTAGACTTTTCAAGTTAGGAACGTGAATGAAATTTGCGCAAGAATGATCTTCCGAGGTCGATTTCTGGTAGAAGGGAGACAACTACAATGAAGCATGTCATTCTAAATTCTATGTGGTTTGTAGCTTATTATTGCAAACTAACCTACGACTGGACAATCAGACACAGAAAATGAGGACATTGAACGTTCATTTCATTATGAAATGTTCTATACTTTTCAAGTTAGGAACCTGAATGAAATTTGCGCAAGAATGATCTTCCGAGGTCGATTTCTGGTAAAAGGGAGACAACTACAATGAAGCATGTCATTCTAAATTCTATGTGGTCTGTAGCTTATTATTGCAAACTAACTTACGACTGGACAATCAGACACAGAAAATGAGGACATTGAACGTCCATTTCATTATGAAATGTTCTAGACTTTTCAAGTTAGGAACGTGAATGAAATTTGCGCAAGAATGATCTTCCGAGGTCGATTTCTGGTACAAGGGAGACAACTACAATGAAGCATGTCATTCTAAACTTTTAGGTGGTCTGTAGCTTATTATTGCAAACTAACTTACGACTGGACAATCAGACACAGAAAATGAGGACATTGAACGTCCATTTCATTTTGAAATGTTCTAGACATTTCAAGTTTGGAACGTGAATGAAATTTGCGCAAGAATGCTCTTCCGAGGTCGATTTCTGGTAAAAGGGAGACAACTACAATGAAGCATGTTATTCTAAACTTCTATGTGGTCTGTAGGTTATTGCAAACTAACTTACGACTGAACAATCAGGCACGGAAAATGAGGACATTAAACGTCCATTTCATTTAGAAATGTTCTAGACTTTTCAAGTTAGGAACGTGAATGAAATTTGCGCAAGAATGATCTTCCGAGGTCGATTTCTGGTAGAAGGGAGACAACTACAATGAAGCATGTCATTCTAAATT